GTTATGCCAAGTTAGTGCTGTATGCCCCTGAAAATGCACTTTCTTCATTCACACTGGGATTTTTTTTCCATCCAGTCTTGGTGCTGTTAGTGATGAATATATTGAGGTTTCATCAGGATATCAGTACAAAGACTGGGACTTTTTTTCCATCCAGTCTTGGTGCTGTTAGTGATGAATATACAGTGGACCCCCAGTTCGTGATACTAATCCGTTCCTGAGAGCTCATCGTAAACCAAAAATATCGGAAAGCGGATCAATTTTCCCCATAAGAAATAATGGAAATCAAATTAATCCGTGCAAAACACCCAAAAGTATGAAAAAAAAAAACTTTTACCACATCAAATATTAAGTTTAATACAATAGAATAGTAATTACAATAACAACAATAACAGTAAATAACAATAAATAATGAAAGAATAATTGACACTTACCTTTAATGAAGATCTGGTGATGATTGATGGGATGGGAGGAGGGGAGAGTGTGGATGGTGTTAGCATTTAGAAGGGGAATCCCCCTCCATTAGGACTTGAGGTAGCAAGTCCTTTTCCGGGGTTACTTCCCTTCTTCTTTTAATGCCACTAGGACCAGCTTGAGAGTCACTGGACTTCTGTCGCACAACATAACTGGCAGCCTCACCATGCCTAATCACACTATGTATGCCACTACGATTCTTAAATCTTTCAAACCAACCTTTGCTGGCCTTAAATTTACTCACATCACCACTAGTTGCAGGCAATTTTTTTACCAAATCGTCATGCAACTGCCTAGCCTTTTCACAAATGATTGCTTGAGAGATGCTATCTCCTGCTATCTGTTTTTCATTTATCCACACCAATAACGGTCTCTCAACATTTTCTAACACTTGCGGTCGCTGTTTTGTAATCACAGTTGCACCTTTTGCAGGAACAGCTTCCTTGATTGCCGTTTTCTTGCTCACTATAGTAGAGAGGGTTGATTGGGGTTTACTATACAACCTGACCAGCTCCGACACACGCACTCCACTTTCGTGCTTTGCAATTATCTCTTTCTTCATTTCAACAGTCATTAGCACCCTTGGTCTCGAAGGGTTGGCACTGGGAGCTTTCTTGGGGCCCATGGTGACTTATTTTGCGAAAACAGGCACCAAAAACAGTGATAATATGGATAATATGGAATGTACCGAATGTATCCTTAGATGCGCGCACACTGGCTGGCTTGTAAACACTGGCACACACGGGGCAGTTCAGGCCACACATGGACACGTCTCATACGAACCACATCGCATACTGGGTTTTGTATCGGGAAGCGAGGCAAATTTTCTGCGATGTAATGCATCGGTTACCGGATTTATTGGATACCGATAGCATCGCAAACCGGGTTTAGTGCCTCCCCAAGATGATAATAATACTGATTAACTAAAAATATTGATATGCTAACTCAGTTTTGACATCAAATTTGGAGTCAGCAAGCTCATTACATAAGAATGCCTACATTTATCTTGTTAGCAGACTGAACATATTTTTTTTATGGTGTCCAGTATTATTTGCACATTGGTTTAGTGGTGAGAGAGGTTGTGTGAACGGGGTGTTGGAAAGGCAGGGAGGTGGGTGGATGTATGTGGGAACCCAGGAGGGAAGTTCCTGTTCACCACACCATCCACACATTAGGTCAGTAGCTGAGGTGCAGTACATTACACAGTACTCTCTACTGCAGGGATTCTCAACTTTTCCTCCATCATTAACCCCCTCTGCTTGATGTATTTCTCCATTTACCCCCTTCACTTCCATACAAAATTTTATTGCCATCATAAAGGGGCAGAAAAACAAGAAGGTCAGAAAAAATAAATTATTCAGGTTTTGCACAAAAATAGCAGTATACATTCGTATCATCAAAAATAATTATACAGTCCATTTTTATCACAAAAAATAAAACCAAACAGAAACACCAGAAACATTATCAGTGGGAACACTGCTGATTCATTGAGTCAATCAGTTTGTTTATGCCAAGAGCTGTTGATGACAGTGCTACTCTCATATCATCATCGGCTTTCAGTCGGTTCCTGGCCTTTGTCTTTATTGCTACTAAACTTGAGAACCCTGATTCACATAAGTATGTAGTGACAAAAGGAACAAGCACTTGGAAGGCATGCTGAGCAAAGAGTGGAAATGAATCTGCAAGTTTTACCCAAAAATGAACAACAACCTTTTCAAATTCTTCTCTAAGAGTAGCTGAGGATTGAAAATCAATCAGCTCCTCTATTGCTGGGTCATCATCGCTCATTTCTGACAGTTCAGTGGCAAAAGGTCTTATTATCCATCTCTTTGTTGGAATCATTTTACAAAATGAAATTTAATTGATAATTCAATTGAATAATACTTCAGTTCAATGAAATTTAATTGAATTATTATTCAGCTATCAAGTACATCAAATATTTACCCCTTGCCATGTAATTTTTTACCCCCAAGGGATAAATTTACCCCTGGTTGAGAATCACTGCTCTACTGTCTCCACACACTACCAGTACATACACATAGCCCCATTCACCTCCCATTCACCCATTTACTCACCCTCTCAGATTCACCCACCTCACCTCACCCTTTCACACCCAGTCATGCTCTCTCATACCCACTCACCCTCACATACTGACCCACTCTCTCTTGCACTTTTCTTATTTCAGTACCACCTACCCTCTTTCACACTCACCCTCTCACACACCCACTCACCCCCTCTCACACCACTTCACTCTCTCTCACACCCACTCACCCTCTCTTTCTCTGTTTTTGTACAGGAATAAATAAAAGGAATGTAAATAACGTGCTAAAAATATCTATCCAAGACAGGACTCGAAGCAATGGTTTTAAGTTGGAAAAATTCAGATTCAGGAAAGATATAGGAAGGCACTGGTTTGGTAATAGAGTTGTGGATGAGTGGAACAAACTCCCGAGTACTACTGTCATAGAAGCTAAGTGTAGTTTTAAAAATTTCTCTTTCAACACACCGGCTGTATCCCACCGAGGCGGGGTGGCTCAAAAGGAGAAACGAAAGTTTCTCCTTTTACATTTAGTAATGTATATAGGAGAAGTGGTTACTAGCCCCTTGCTCCCGGCATTTTAGTCGCCTCTTACAACACGCATGGCTTACAGAGGAAGAATTCTGTTCCACTTCCCCATGGAGATAAGAGGAAATAAACAAGAACTAGAAAGAAGCGTAGTCAATAGAGGATCACATTATACTGCATATGTGTTTATATTTCCATTGTGTCGGTATTTTATACCATTTATTTCCAGAGTTGTAGATGCGTGGAACAGTCTAGGACCTTGGGTAGCTTTAAGAAGAGACTGGGCAAATATATGAGTGGGAGGGGCTGGGTTTGATTGATGTCATTGGGTACGGGAGTTATTTCTTGGGTAGCTTTAGGTAGAGGTCGTTTTGATAAGGACCTGCCTCGCATGGGCCAGTAGGCCTTCTGCAGTGTTCCTACATTCTTATGTTCTTAAAATAGAAGAAAACCCAGAGGGGTGTGTGTGTATATATGTGCTTGTACATGTATGTGTAGTGTGACCTAAGTGTAAGTAGAAGTAGCAAGACATACCTGAAATCTTGCATGTTCATGAGACAGAAAAAAGGACACCAGCAATCCTACCATCATGTAAAACAATTACAGGCTTTCGTTTTACACTCACTTGGCAGGACGGTAGCACCTCCCTGGGTGGTTACTGTCTACCAACCTACTACCTATGAGTTTTAAAAATCTTCTTCTTTCTTTCAACATACCAGCCGTATCCCACCGAGGCGGGGTGGCCCAAAAGAAAAAACTAAAGTTTCTCTTTTTAAATTTAGTAATATATACAGGAGAAGGGGTTACTAGCCCCTTGCTCCCGGCATTTTAGTCGCCTCTTACAACACGCATGGCTTACGGAGGAAGAATTCTGTTCCACTTCCCCATGGAGGTAAGAGGAAATAAACAAGAACAAGAACTAGAAAGAAAGTAGAAGAAAACCCAGAGGGGTGTGTGTGTGTATATATATGCTTGTACATGTATGTGTAGTGTGACCTAAATGCAAGTAGAAGTAGCAAGACATACCTGAAATCTTGCATGTTTATGAGACAGACAAAAGACACCAGCAATCCTACCATCATGTAAAACAATTATAGGCTTTCATTGTACACTCACTTGGCAGGACGGTAGTACCTCCCTGGGCGGTTACTGTCTACCAACCTACTACCTATGAGTTTTTAAAAATATGTTGGGTAAATAAATGAGTGGATGTGGGTGGGTGTAAGTTGGACCTAACTAGTTTGTGCTAATAGATCTCATGCCGTGCTCCTTAAGTGGATGTGATCTAACCTAACTTGGTGGGTCATTGGTTTAAGCTGGGAAGTGATTTGGACTTGCCTCGCATGGGCCAGTAGGCCTGCTGTAGTGTTCCTTCTTTCTTATGTTACATTATTCTTTGTGTCCAGTAGTGTCTTCAGAAGTAACCATTATGAAATAAATTTTATAATTCAGAAACAACAGACAGTCAACGATAATGTACACCCCCTCCCATTGTAAGCCTGCTAAATCCATGTATGATTCTCTGACAGATGTTTTAGATTTTCCCACAATAGATAAATCACCATATAAGATTCTGTAGCAGATGTTTCTCATTCTTCAAGTATGTTTGATGTTTCATGATATATATACTGTACCCTGTTTATAATGCCTGGGAATTATTCCACATGTAGCTGCCCCTGAATGAATTTCCAGGGGAACACAATATAGACAAAAAATAATTAATTTAATAAATGTCTTACTGTTGTGTTTTGTTGTCTTTATTATAATTACTGCTTAAGAATCTATATCTATGTCACATGGTAATTTCTTTCTTGTTTATTAATTGATTACTTTCCAAAGAATATTTATTTTTCAAAATATCATTTATCTCCAGTAAACTGTCATTTTCCTGATGTCTCTCAGGAGTATCATCCTTTTTTTAATTTTTGGTTAAATATATTTTACTTGTTACTGAAATTTTCAGATGTGTGCTTACTACAAAGCCTTTGAGGAACTTCTGGCCGACAACTTGCCACTTCTCGCTGAGCACTTACAAAACATTGGAGTCACACCAGACCTCTATGTCTTGGACTGGTTGTTGACAGTATTTGCTCGTCCATTACCTCTTGATGCTGCCGTCAGAATATGGGATGTTTATTTGAGAGATGGCGAGGAGTTTCTCTTAAGGGCTGCCATTGGTTAGTAGATTTGAGAAATATTTGAACATTAAAATTGACATCTTTAATGATCATTTACATACATTTTGAAGTTTGATAGATATCAAAGGTGTATACAGTGGACCCTTGGTATTTGTGATTAATCCGTTCCAGAGAGTCTGCTGAAAACCAAAATTCACGAAAACCAAAACCATTTTCCCCATAAGAAATTCCAATTAATCCGTTCCAGACACCCAAAAGTATTAAAAAAAAAATAATGTTTTTAGAGAATAAATATAAATTTACATACAGAAAAGAATGACAAATAAATATAAAGCACTAATAAAATGTATACAGTAGGACCCCACTTTACGGCGTTTCACCTTACAGCGTTCTGCTAATATGACGATGTCAAATTATGACCAAAATTTGCTATATGGCAAGCGGTCTTTCAAATACAGTGCGCCCCACCCGGTTTGTTTACATTCATCATGACCACATCTATTACATCTGGAAACTTTCCAAAATTTCAAGTGTTTTATAGTTATTGCACATTTTATGTTTTTTTTTTGTTTTTTGTTTTTTTTCCCCAACAAGTTGGCCGTCTCCCACCGAGGCAGGGTGACCCAAAAAAGAAAGAAAATCCCCAAAAAGAAAATACTTTCATCATCATTCAACACTTTCACCACACTCACACATTATCACTGTTTTTGCAGAGGTGCTCAGAATACAACAGTTTAGAAGCATATACGTATAAAGATACACAACATATCCCTCCAAACTGCCAATATCCCAAACCCCTCCTTTAAAGTGCAGGCATTGTACTTCCCATTTCCAGGACTCAAGTCCGACTATATGAAAATAACCGGTTTCCCTGAATCCCTTCACTAAATATTACCCTGCTCACACTCCAACAGATCACCAGGTCCCAAGTACCATTCATCTCCATTCACTCCTATCTAACACGCTCACGCATGCTTGCTGGAAGTCCAAGCCCCTCGCCCACAAAACCTCCTTTACCCCCTCTCTCCAACCCTTTCGAGGACGACCCCTATCCCGCCTTCCTTCCCCTATAGATTTATATGCTTTCCATGTCATTCTACTTTGATCCATTCTCTCTAAATGACCAAACCACCTCAACAACCCCTCTTCTGCCCTCTGACTAATGCTTTTATTAACTCCACACCTTCTAATTTCCACACTCCGAATTTTCTGCATAATATTTACACCACACATTGTCCTTAGACAGGACATCTCCACTGCCTCCAACCGTCTCCTTGCTGCTGCATTTACCACCCAAGCTTCACATCCGTATAAGAGTGTTGGTACTACTATACTTTCATACATTCCCTTCTTTGCCTCCATAGATAATGTTTTTTGACTCCACATATACCTCAACGCACCACTCACCTTTTTTCCCTCATCAATTCTATGATTAACCTCATCCTTCATAAATCCATCCGCTGACACGTCAACTCCCAAGTATCTGAAAACATTTACTTCTTCCATACTCCTCCTCCCCAATTTTATATCCAATTTTTCTTTATCTAAATCATTTGATACCCTCATCACCTTACTCTTTTCTATGTTCACTTTCAACTTTCTGCCTTTACACACATTCCCAAACTCATCCACTAACCTTTGCAATTTTTCTTTAGAATCTCCCATAAGCACAGTATCATCAGCAAAAAGTAACTGTGTCAATTCCCATTTTGAATTTGATTCCCCTAATTTAATCCCACCCCTCTCCCGAACACCCTAGCATTTACTTCTTTTACAACCCCATCTATAAATATATTAAACAACCATGGAGACATTACACATCCCTGTCTAAGACCTACTTTTACCGGGAAGTAGTCTCCCTCTCTTCTACACACCCTAACCTGAGCCTCACTATCCTCATAAAAACTCTTAATATTTTATATGTACTCTGATAATTATACTTATGTGTACCTGTACCTAAATATACTTACACACTGTGCTGGTGTGCAGGTACACATTAAAATCGCTAAGAGTCTCTCTACTCACGACACCAATAGCACATAATAATCATCACTCTTGGGCAAATTCAATGTCTTATTTTACATTAATATAGACATTTTCATTAATCCATCTATGATGTTTTCCTCAAAATTATATAAGAAACACGTTACATAGCATATAAATATGATATATGCACTCACAGAATAAAAATTGACGTAAATATGAGATTTGTTTACAAAGCGGCTCTGTAGGTAGTGTCAGAAGAATTACGTTTTCTCTAGTCAAACACTGGGGAATATCTGTAGAAAAATATTCCTTTTGTATGCCTTCACTTTATATATAGCAATTCATGACCCTTGTGGGTTTAGCGCTTTTTTATTATGATGATAATAATATCATCATCACTCTAAAAATAGTGTTTATTCTGTACTAACTTGTACACAATGTAAGAGTATTTGTATTGTGAGGTAATTATTATTATAATAAAAGAAATATTGCGAGGTAAAAGTTTTACAAACTCTTACAAACGTATGTGAATGAAGTAAAAGCAGACACATATTAATACACATTTATTTCGCCTGACAAAGTGATCGCCCATTACATGTTCAGTTTGTGTTCTTACATTGTCTGAACTCTGTATCTCGTTCTCTCTCTCATTTACTCTTTTGTTAACTAGTTGGCTCTCATTGACAATGGCGTCTAAGCTTAGCCGTGATAAAAAGAGGAGTTGTTAGCCTCTTGCTTTAAGTGCCAAGTTAGAGGATGATAGTGTGCCATTCTGATATTATTCAATAAACACCCTGCCACTTAGCTCTCACACATTTATACCTTGGTCCCTCGATAATCGTTGGGCTCGATAGTCGTCCTTTTCAGAAATCGTTGCGTTATTTTCATCCAAACATTGGCTCGCAAATGGTTGGTTGACTCGCTAATCGTTGTTCGTCCTGGATGCATACTCACGGCTCTGAACTGCCTCGGCCTCCCTTCCCAGCCAGTGTGCCATTGTTTACCAGTGAGCGACGGTCCCCTCACTTGTTCATACGAAATATTTCATAATATTTCATTCATTTTAGTGCTTGCAAGTGCTAAATAAGCTACCATGGCTCCAAAGAAAGCTCCTAGTGCCAAGCCTTTGGTAAAGAAGGTGAGAAATATGATTGAATTTAAGAAAAACATCATTGAACAATATGAAAGTGGCGTACGTATGGCCGAACTGGCCAGGATGTATAACAAATCCCATACAACCATATCTTACATTGTGGCCAAGAAAAAGGAAATCAAGGAAGCTGTTGTTGCAAAGGGGGTAAATATGCTGACAAAAATGAGATCACCAGTACTCGAAGAGGTTGAGAAGTTATTATTGGTGTTGATAAACGAGAAACAATTAGCAGGAGATAGTCTTATGATGTCGATTATTTGTGAAAAGGCTAGGCAGTTGCATGACGATCTGGTAAAGAAATTGCCTGCAATGAGTACTGATATTTGTGAATTTAAGGCCAGCAAAGGTTAGTTTGAGAGATTTAAGAACCGTAGTGGCATACACAGTGTGATAAGGCATGGTGAGGCTGCCAGTTCGGACAAAATTGCAGCCACAAAATTCGTAAGTGAATTCAAGGAGTACATAGAGGCTGAAGGACTGAAACCTGAACAAGTGTTCATTTGTGACAAAACAGACCTCTTTTGGAAGAAAATGCCAAAGAGGACCTACATTACTCAGGAGGAAAAGGGACTGCCAGGACACAAGCCTACGAAAGATAGGCTGACGCTCATGTTCTGTGCTAATGCTAGTGGGGATTTCAAAGTGAAGCCATTACTAGTGTACCATTCTGAAAATCCCAGAGTGTTCAGGAAAAACAATGTTTTGAAGAGTAAATTGTGTGTGTTTTGGATATCTAATAACAAGGCATGGGTCACGAGGGAAATTTTCGTTGAGTGGTTCAATGAAGTGTGAAGAATTACCTCCTGGAAAAGAAATTGGATCTCAAGTGCCTCCTGCTAATGGACAGTGCACCTACTCATCCTCCAAACTTGGATGACCTAATTCTGCAGGAGTTTGGGTTCATCACAGTAAAGTTCTTGCCCCCGAATGCCACTCCTCTCCTCCAGCCCATGGACCAGCAGGTCATTTCAAACTTTAAAAAACTCTACACGAAAGCAATGTTTCAAAGGTGCTTTAATGTGACCTCAGACACTCACTTGACCCTAAGAGAGTTTTGGAAAGAACACATCAGTATCCTCCATTGCATAAGCCTTATAGGTAAGGCTTGGCAGGGAGTGACTACCAGGACTTTGAACTCTGGAGAAAATTGTGGCCAGATTGTGTCTGCAAGAGGGATTTTGAAGGGTTTGTGGCTGACCCTGATGAGCCCATGTCAGTTGTGAACCCTGTTGTGGCATTGGGGAGTTCCATGGGGTTGGGTGTGAGTTTGGAGGATGTGGAAGAGTTGGTGGAGGACCACAACGAAGAGCTAACCACTGAGGAGCTGCAAGAGCTTCAGCAGCAACAGCAACAGATCGCAGTTCAGAATCTTGCTACAGAGGAGGAGGAAGAGAGATGGAAGAAGGTGCCTTCTACAGAAATTAACCCTTTCAGGGTCGGCAGGCCCTGTCAGAGACTTGTTCGCAGGGTCGGCCAGATTTCAAAAAAAAAAAAAAAAAAATTTCTTTTGAAAAAATATTTTTTTTTCTAAACATTATAGGCTAAACAAAAATTTTTTACCATCAATACATACCGAAATATGGAGGCGTGAAGTTGACAGAAAATGCACATCATGTGGTAACATCGCCGACTGCCATCACCCGGTATTCTTTTATTTAGTATTTTATGTACTATTTTCTATTATTTTTTAATTTTTCTTTTTCCAAGTAACTTTTATGGCCTGTGAGACCAATATGATCAGTATTTTGTAAGTTATTTCTTTTTCAATACTACACAATAACGGCATAAACACTGTTGTCGTTGTTTTGCTTACAGAAAATATTTACACAAACAAATGATATGAAATGTTGTTTATTACTATTTTCTATATTTTATATACACATATACAGTCACAGGAAAT